TCACAGATACTTCTCTTACAATATGTTAGTAAAGCATTAGAAAACATCCTTCAAATTATCCACCTTTTTCTTGGGTGTTTTCTCCGCTGATTTTTCTTTCTCATCTTTATAGGTTTTTTCCTTACGTCTCACCTTTCTTCTTTCTTCATCGCTGTCTCGCTCTTTTCCATATTCCTTTRATCTTTCTTTATCTCTTTTACTTTCATGGTCTTTGCTTTTTCCACGGTCTTTTGACTTATCTCGTTCTCTATCACGTTCTTTATCTTTTTCACGATCTCTGTCACGGTCTCTGTCCCGTTCCTTTTCCCGCTCTTTCTCCTTTTCTTCTTTATCTTTTGARCGCTTCTCTGTATCAGACTCTGAAGAAGGCTATTGAAAAGACTTGTGTCAGTTATTGTGTAAATAATAATTGCTTCACTCAGTCATTTCTAGTAGCTTTATGTTGATAAGTCATTCAGTTTGTGTTTCAGTATACATGTATGTACTTACAGAGTGATGACGCTTTTTCTTCGATTTCTGTGAGAAAAAAATAATTATTGCTAAAGAGTTGGTGTAGAGTACAAACACTAAAACTGTGCAACATAAATATCACTTAATACTGCTAAATTATGCTAATTCTATTGTATAATTAACACTTTTTAGTAACTGTAAATAGTGGAAAGTGTTGCACACATTTAATGTTTATACTCTACAAGGGATACAAAAAGTATTAAGTTTACCTTCTAGAGCAATTTTTTCAATTGTACTTACCTTCTTGTGCTTTTTCTTTTTTGTGACAACCTCCTTTTCAGCTTCTGAATATAAACAAAGACAATATATTAATTATAAATGATTTAGCCTCCTTTGAAGGTGCTTTTCTTTCTACTTTTGGGATTCCTGTCTTCCTTAAACTGAGAGAGACTGTGACCTGGCAACTGCAGAGGAGGATGTTTATTGAACCTTGAAGTTCACAATAATTTAAATAAGTTGCACAAATAAACAAATGTACCTGAATCAGAACCACTTGAAGGACTTCGTGACCTTGACTTTGATCTTTTGTGTCGTTTCTTTTTATGAGATGATGACTTTTCCTTTTCTTTTTCCTTTTCTTTTTCCTTTTCTTTTTCTTTCTCTTTTTCTTTCTCTTTGCTGTATTCATCTTCAGAATGAGATGATTCCTGGAATTAAAAAGCCAATTGTGTCCTAAAAAGTATCTATATAATATTTGCTCACAACTTACAACACATTTATTTACAACAATATATTATAAATCTAAATTTCATTGACACTCAGGACTCAGGACTGATTATTTCTTACATACCCCACTTGCAGAAGGAGACCTGGATCTCTTACGATGCTTCTTATTCTTTTTACTTTTCTTGTGTGACTTAGATGAATGATGATGTGAACAAGCCTGTAATTTAAGGAAAAAATATTCATAAAAACATTAAGGATTGTATTTAATATCTTGATGTTAATTTTTGTCATAAAATTGTCAACAGAGAAAAATGTATTATATGTTGTAGTATATTTTGTTACATGTTCTTCCTACTTTATYAACTATTCTTAAAATTCCAGATCAGTTGGAAATAGCCTTGAATATATGTGTAAATTCATTGTTTATTTTATTGTTATCTATACTAGGAACAAGATTATTCCCTGTACTGGATACAATACCTCTAAAGATGCTTTATAATCTTGGAAGAGCTTTATTCTATCTGCCTCCACAGTAAATGCTGTAAAAGACGACTCGTTTTCAAATCTTTCTCTGACCTGTGGATTGTTGAAAAGGACATTCAATCAATTTTATCCAATTTTGTTACTATGGTTTGTAAATCTTGTGTATCATGCCTAGCATGATACTCCTTAAGTTGTAAACTATTGTCTTTCTTATCTATTATTTGTTGCTATATTTTGTAAATCTTCTTGGGTATCATTGCCTAATATGATACTCTTTTGTAAATTATTGTCCGTATTATCCAAAAATAATAATAAAATATTTAAAAAACAACAACAAAACATTCAATCACAATCAACTGGTAGTAGTAATGATGATGGTATCAATAATGATGACAGTGATAAATGCAGTATCAGCAATTATGATAATCAATTTTAGATCACTTCTAATAATTTATTGACAAAATGTTACATAGAGCATTTATTTCAATATCAATTAATATTCAATATAGATGATAACAAAGATTTCTTACCTCTTCCCATACTGTTGATTCTTCAATAGGTGGYGAAGCAGCCTTTAACATTTGTTTAAATGCATTTTCCTTTTTCCTTTGCTGTTTAAAAATATGCAAATTATAACTTAACATTTGTTAGAGAGTATTATGGTATATTGTATATAAATGATGCAAAAGCACCAAAACTYTATTTACTTCTCTTTCTTCTTTCTTTTGTCTCTCTCTTTCCCTGGCTTCAGCTTTTCCTATTAACTAAAAAACAAATCATAATAATAATTAGCATGATTCAATAAAAATTGTTTGGGTGTACATGTTTAAGGACTTTAAATGCTTCAATAACATTATTTATGTCACTTACATGGTTGAAAGTCATTTTAATGTTTCCAGGATCCAGAGTGCTACTTCTCTTGTCAGATCTAATGATTTCACTAAAATCTGTGTARCTACTATCTGTATCCACAGCAACATCATGATCCTAAAGATATACAGATTGAGCATTATTTTAA